CACACCCTGCAAGGTAGGCAGACGGCTCCACCCGCGCCTTGGCCAGCAGCCGCGTGTCAGGGTGCTGGGGAGAAGGCAGGCAGGTAGGGACCCTCACACCGCTGCCAGCCCAGGTGGGGAGAAGGGGCAGGATTGTAACCCCTCCTCCCGGGCGGGAAGGGCAGGTGGGCACGAGAGGAGTGGGGACCAGGACAGTGCGGCTTTGGCCACACCCTGCCTCTTGCCTCAGTTTCCTTATCTTTAGCAGGGAGGATCCCCGCTTCCCTGGGCTGTGGAGGGCCGGCCCCACTGTGGGTGAGGTGGGGCATTCTGGAAGGGGCTGCCCAGTGCTGGAAGATGGTCTGGGCAGGAGGACCAGCCCCACGGGCTCTGGATCTGAGACTTCAGGGACAGTGTCTGGCCGGCAGCCTGCAAAGGCAGGTGTGGCTCAGAAGCCGAGGGTGAGGGGAGTGGGGCAGTGGGAGGGGTCTGGGGTCACCAGGTCACCACTGTGTCCTCTCGCCACCACTTCCCTGAGCCATGTCCTCCACTGCAGCCCAGGGAGATGGGGTATCCTCATAGGGAGGACACAGGGACACACATCTGACTTCCTGCCTGCTGCATGCAGGGACCGTTCTGGCACCTTCCCCTTGTGACTCGCCGTTCCCCCAAATCTCACAAATGAGACAGGCCCAGGGAGGCTGAGGGACTCGCCCGAAGTCACACAGCCTGGTGGGGATGAGCGGGGCTGGGACCCCAGGACCTGGCCATCCAGTCCTGTCCTGCGCTGGTCCTGGGGTGCCAGGGAAGCCATGTTTGGCTCTGGCTGTCTCTGGGATGGCTGTGGCTACGGGTGCCCCACTGCCCTGACAGCCCCAGCACCTTCACTGCCCGGGGCGCTGCCTCAGTTTTGCCTCTTGGGAGTTCTGGGATGGGCTTCTGGCCAGGGGTCACGAAGGCCCCTGGCTGTCCCCGGCTCCCTGCCCCACCCTGGGATGCACAGGGAGGGGTGCAGAAGACTGGGCGCCTGCTCATGCAAATCCCAGCTGTTTGCATTGCCTCCCTCTGGGCCCATTTGCCTGGTGCCCAGCACCTGCCCAAATGCCTCCTCAGCCCCTGGGCTGGCCGGTGGGTGTAGGGGGCGCCGAGCCTGGGTGTGGGGCAAGGGGTGGTTGCGGCCACCGGGAAGGTGAGGCTGCCCCACGCTGCTGCTGGGCTTCCTTGACCTCAGCTGCCGGGCGCCTAGCTCTGCCCTGTCCTCAGGAGGAAAGAGGTGCTGTGGGCCCTGGGAAGGGCCAGAGCTTGGGTTGTGGCTGCTTCCACCTCTACTGGCTGCTGCTCTTCCCCCCAGGGGGCTTGCACAGAGTCCGGGAGGCGCTGCTGAGCTCCAGGCTGAAGGGTGCTCATGGGCGTCCTATCCCAGAACTTCCAAGAAGCAAAACTGAGGTTCACTGGAGAGCAATTCAAGGGTCAGGGAGCCCTGTAGGACCCCTCCCAAGGCCCAGGCCCCCATTAGCTTCCCCACCGGGGATGAAGGGAAGAGAAGAGGGAGTCCCCATCTACGGCCTAAGAGTCATTGGGAAGGTAAGGATAACTAACAGTGTTGTCCAGCCCAACCTCGTCCCCCAGGCTGAGGGTCATGGCCAAACCCCAACCCCTACACCCTGTGCTGGGGACAAGTCTGGCCATGCATCCCCAGCCGCAGGGCACATGTCCAGATGTAGCCAGGATTGACCCCAGCGGGTGGCCAGGTGTGGCAGGGCCTGGTGGGAATGAAGACCAGCCTGAGGACCCCCACCCAGGGTGAGACTCCCGCCCAGGGTGAGGACTCCCGCCCTCACCCTGAGGTGAGGACCCACGCCCAGGGCTGCACCTCACTGCCTGTTCTGTGTTAAGTGGTGTCCTCCCAGACGGGGCGACACTAGTGGTGGGATACTGTCCACTGTGAAGCTTAGAATGTGACCTCATTTGGAAGTGGGGTCCTTGCACACTGGGGTAGGGCAGGCCTGGGCACTCGGTGATGGCAGAGGAGACAGACAGGCGAGGCGGACCACACGCCAACCAAGGCGGAGGCTGGAGCCACGTGGCCACAGCCAGGAACACCTGGCGCCTTGGGAACCTGGAAGGGGTGGGAGGGACCCGCCCGAGAGCTTCCAGAGGGAGCACGGCCCTGCCGATGCCTGGATTTGGGATGTCTGGCCTCCAGAACTATGAGATCATCCGTTTGTTGTTTTGAGCCCCCAAGGGTGTGGCCCTTTGTTTCAGCAGCCCTGGGACGCAACAGCAATGCCAAGCCTTGTCCCAGCCTCCAGCCCCCACCTAGGGCCTGGCCACAGACACGGGCTTCCAACACTGAAAACCGCCAAGCGTCTCCACCAGCGCGGGAGGCCGTATTCAAATACTGCCTCTCTGTGGTCTGCGGCTGGTTCGTGCTCTGCAGGCCGGAAGTGCGGGAGGATTTGCATTACCCTGCAGGGGCGGCTGAGGCCCACATGGTGCTGACAGCATCAGGGCGCCTCCGCAGGCCTGGCCGGAGGAGGGGGCTGAGGTCCGTGAGTGGGTCCTGCCTGGGGCTGGCAGTCACCAGAAGTCGTGCCAGGCTTGACTTGGGCCTCGCACAGGGACCCTGGGCAGCCGTGACAGCAGCCTGAGCTGGGCATCTTAAAACAACGGCAATTGATTTTCTCATGGTTCTGGAGGCCACCAGCGCTAAGTCCTAAGTCAAGGTGTCGGCAGGGCCAAGCTCTTGAGGGGGATCCTCCCTGCCTCTTCCAGCTTCGGGGCTCCAGGTGTCCCTTGGCCTGTGGCTGCATCCCCCAACCCCTGTCTCCACCTCCCCTGTGTCTTTCCCTGCTCATCTGTCTCTATGTCCAAATGTCCCCTTTTTATATCAGAACCTGGGAATCAGGGTTCCCCCTGCTCCAACATGGCCTCATCTTTACTTACATCTTAATCACATCTGCAATGGGCCTGTTTCCAAAGGTCGCATTCCCACGTACTGGGGTTTGGGGCTTGGACATATCTGTCTGGGGACACAGTAACTGTGCTGGCTCCAGAGGCCTAATAGGGAGGGCCTTGGCCTTAGCCTCTGCCCCAAAGCCAGCCCCCCACCAGGGGTCCCAGGACATATTCCCTCTCGTGCCTGAAGGTCCCCTCAACTCCTATGTCCCCTCCTGAGGTCACAAGTGGGCCCCTCTCTAGGAAATGAAAGGTTTTACAGAACGGTCCATTGTCTTCTCACAAAGGGCCTTCTGTGGTGGGCACAGCCCAGAGCACCTGGGCACAGGGTGGGCACAGGATAACCAAGGCACAGCTCTGTGGGATCAAGAGCTGCCAGGTAATCCCACGTTGGACAGGGTAGTGTGACTGGGGGCCCAGGGAGACCTCTGCCCGGTGGCCTGTGACCCGGCGCATGGTTCCAGGAGGGCAGATAGCGGAGCAGGTGCCCTCTGCCTGCCAGGGCTTGTCCTCAGACACTCAGCTTCCAATATTGAGTTTCCAGACAAGCAATCAGAAGGAGGTGGGGCCAAGCCAGGCCAAGATCAGTCAGACTGGGGCGGCTGAGAGATGAGGCCGTGGGCAGGGATGGAGCCAGGACACTGAGGGGACAGCCCCGATCCTTGGATCCCTGCCACATAGAGAGGGGCTGAGATGCCCGACCTCACCGGGCAGCTGGGAGACGTGAGCCCCGTGAGGGCTGAGGTGCACGAGGCCTCTTCTCCCCTGATGCGGGAGCGCTGAGGGAAGAGCTCTGCCGCTGATGCTGTGTGGGCCTGGGCGAGGCCTCCCCTCTGTGTGTCCTGGACCTCCTGGGCAAGGAAGGTGGTCCCTTGTCCACACCACCTCCTGCACCTGAGCTGAGGGCACCTGCCTCACCTTCTCACCTCTGCCCAGGTGCACCCAGGGGCTCTGCATCCCTGTCCTGGGAGTGAGTGGGCTGTGTGGCCAGGGGGCTGCAAGGCCTCTGCTGAGTCTTCCAGAGTTTCCAGGTCATCCCTGCAAAAGGCCTCTGGAGAAGCATCTGCAGGTGTGGCTGACCTGAGGTGCCCAGAGTGGGGTGAGTAGAGGAACCAGGAGCCAGTGGCAGAGCCCCACACATCCCATCCTCACCTGGAAAGGAGCTTGGTTGGGGCGGTGCTACAGCAAGAGACAGAGCTGCAGGGGGTCGCTGGGCAGGGCCCGGCTGGAGAGAAGGTCCCTGGGGCAGAGATGCCTGGGGCAGTCCCCAGGTCTCCTTGTGCATGTCGGCTGGAGAGGGGCTTCCTAGGGGAAGGCAGCACCCGCCCCCTGAGGGGAGGGAGGCGAGGACGGGCATTCCCAGCCCTCAAGGGCCGGGGTATCCCTGCATCTCTAGAGGCCGTCATGCAGGATGTCCAAGGCCCCCGTCCCGGAAGCCCCGGGGATGCTGAAGACCGGCACGGGCTAGGCTTGCGCAGGGGCGAGGTCGACTTTGGAGGGTCTGGGAAGAAGCGAGGCAAGGTAGGGGCAGTCCCCAGGCCTCGGGCAATGTCTGTGTTGACCTGGAACCCATGAGCCCCCATTTCCTTCCCTGGAAGCTGAGTGCCAGGGTCCTCCTCACCCCTGGGGTCTGCTCCCCTGGGGCCATATTCAGAGCCCCCAGACAAGCAGAGTTCCAGAGCTGGAAGGAGTGGCTCTGGCCAGCCTCCTACCTCCCTGCGATAACTGGGACCCCTGAGGTCTCCCCGAGAGATTTGGAGGTGCAAGGTTAAGCGCATCCAAGGCTCCACCTCTGACCAGTGCCCTCAGCTCACTGAGGAGGATGCCGGCCCAGAGAGGGGTCAGGACTCTCCAGGTCACACGGCAGGCCAAAGGAGGACTGGCTCTGTCCCAAAAGGGGTATTGGGGGCCACTCTCCTCCTGCTACCTGCCACCAGGAACCAGCACCTCCCCAGTGCCCCCGTGTCCAGCCCCCTTGATGCCCAGAACCTCCCCAGTGCCCAGTGTCCCCTTGTGTCCAGCCCCCTTGATGCCCAACACCTCCCCAGTGCTGAGTGCCCCCCATGTCCAGCCCACAAATGCTCAGCACCTCCTCAGTGCCTCCTGTGTCCAGCCCACCCCAATGCCCAGCAGTTCCCGTGCCCCGTGCCCCGAAAGCCCTGAGCTGCAGCCCCGCCTTGCAGTTTGTACGGGTGCTGAGCGGAGTGGCCCCATCTGTGCTCTTTGATCTGCTGCTTGCTGAGTGGCACCTGCCGGCCCCCAATCTGGTGGTGTCCCTTGTGGGCGAGGAGCAGCCTTTCACCATGAAGTCCTGGCTGCGGGACGTACTGCGCAAGGGGCTGGTGAAGGTGGCTCAGAGCACAGGTGAGCCCCCACCCTCACGGCAGCCCGAGGCCCTGACTCTCCACCCCACCTGGCACGGGCAGCGCTCCCACCCCACGCGGCAGCCCGAGGCCCTGACTCTCCACCCCACCTGGCACGGGCAGCGCTCCCACCCCACGCGGCAGCCCGAGGCCCTGACTCTCCACCCCACCTGGCACGGGCAGCGCTCCCACCCCACACGGCAGCCCGAGGCCCTGACTCTCTGGACCATCAGGAGAACATTTCCCAAAACTGCCCACCTGTCCTCTGCAGTACCCACAGGTGCAGCAGTGCCTACGTACTGGACCAGGGCCTCCCCGAGCTGGGCCTGGCCCTTCCTTAGAGCTGCCCCCTCCACTATGAGATGTCCCTGCTCCCACATACCTGGGACCAGAGCACCCCGGTATATACAGGGTGGGACCCCCTGGGGAAGTAGTCGGGCCAGCCAGCTGTAGGGGCCAGAGTCCAGTGACTGGGCTCTTTTTTGAGGCAGCTTGGCCTATGCAACACCCGGGAGAAGGGCCTGAGGTTTCAGGGACCCTCACTAAAGAAATGACTGTGGCAAACTCAAAGAGATCTTCCAGCCAGACACAGCCGAGGGCTTTGTAAAAATTTGGGAAAACATCCTGGGATTCTGGCCCAGCGGTTGGGCAGAGCTGTGTCGGATTTGTCCCGGAGGGAGCCCAGAGGAAGGACTGGGCCCCAGCATGTGTGCTCCAGGCGGGGTGGGGATGCCACTTCACAGGTTCTGGGCCCAGCCAGTCCCACTGCTGCCCAGCCCCCTGCCTTGGGTGGCTGTCTTGCCCTCTCTGGGCCTCGGCTTCCCCACCCCACCTTGAGGTATTCCCCAGCACCCACCACTGGCTCCCAGGTAACTGGCTGCTGATTGGGCCAGGTGTTAGGGCGTGGGTCCAACTGGGAAAGATCCGGCCATGCGGCACAGTGAGCCCCTCCTCCGTCCCCACAGGAGCCTGGATCCTGACCAGTGCCCTCCACGTGGGCCTGGCCCGGCATATCGGGCAGGCCGTGCGCGACCACTCGCTGGCCAGCACATCCACCAAGGCCCGTGTGGTTGCCGTCGGCATGGCCTCTCTGAGCCGCGTCCTTCACCGCCGCATTCTGGAGGAGGCCCAGGTGCACATCCAGCTCCCAGCACCACGACTGCTGGGGGCCTGGAGGCAGGGGTTCAGAAGGGTTTGGGCAGCGGGCAGAGAGCTCTGGGAAGACAGGATTCGGGCTGGAGGAGGAGCAGGGATCAGACAGAGCAAGCATGCGGCCGGCAGGTGGCAGTACCGCATAGGGAACGGCCAGTGTAGAGCATGGTGAGGGCCCTCCCCTCCTCCTGTACCACGTGGGCCCAGGCCCCAAGCCCTGTCCAAGCCTGGACAAGCAACTTCCGTCCCCCATGCTGGGGTCTGTCTAAGGCACTGCCGAGGGAGGCCCAGGCAGCCCCTGGTGGATGTCTGGACGCCAGCCCTAGAGTCGGGAAGGAGGAGCTTCCGGCAGCCCCGGCTGTCTCCATGGCTCTGTCTAAAAGAACCCGCTCCCCACCGCCCCTGCCCCTGACTGTTGAAGGAGGGTCCCCGGGCCCCAGCTGTTGGTCCCTCCTTTTGTCTGAAGGGTGGGGAAACCAAGGCTTAGGCAGAAGCCTTGTGCAGGGCCCCATAGTGTAGTGTGTATGGCCTGGCAGGGAGGATCCCGCAGCAGGACCCAAGCTGCCTCCCGAGGGCTCAGCCTCGTCTCCCTGAATGGGCACAGGAGGATATTCCTGTCCACTACCCCGAGGATGACGGCAGCCAGGGGCCGCTCTGTTCGCTGGACAGCAACCTCTCCCACTTCATCCTGGTGGAGCCAGGCCCCCCGGGGAAGGGCGATGGGCTGACGGAGCTGCAGCTCAGACTGGAGAAGCACATCTCGGAGCAGAGGACAGGCTATGGGGGTGAGGCCCGCCCCAGCCACCCAGGAAAGCTGCCGGTGGCCAACTGCCTTGGGACCCAGTGGGGATCCAGGGACCCGCCTATGGGAGTGTGGGGGTGACCGCCAGGGAGAAGGAGGAGGGCTTCCCAGGCAGAACGCAGCCAGCATGCCTGGGCACCGAGACCTGGGCCGTGGGGGTCTGGGAGGAGGAGCTGTCTGGGCAGGGTGGTGCAGGAGGCACAGCTGGATAGAGTGGGTCTGGCTGGGCAGTGACATTCCCACCAGAGCAGGTGCAGTTCTGTTTTCACTGGGCCTTGCCGTGGTCAGAGGCTCTGGGGCGTGAGTTGAAAGAGGGCTACTTCCTGCCGCCAGGCATGAGGTACGCTGCCACCAGAGGGCAGCGTCACCCGAGAAATGGGCACCTCTGGCCAGTCGCACTTTCAAAAGCTGGACTTACTAAGAAAATGCTAGTGTGTAAATAATATTCATAAACAAAGCATATAATTATTTATAACATCTATGAACAATATACAGCATTTAGAAACAAAAATTGGTTTTTTGTGGGCAGTTTTTGGGTGGGCAGTTTCGGGAAATGTTCTCCGGATGGCCCAGAGAGTCAGGGCGTCGGGCTGCCGTGTGGGGTGGGAGCGCTGCCCGTGCCGGGTGGGGTGGAGAGTCAGGGCCTCGGGCTGCCGTAATTTTTTGGCAAGGCCAATTGAGCCTTTTTTTTTTTTTTTTTTTTTTTTTTCTGGTAGACTCTCACTCAGTCCCCCAGGCTGGAGTGCAGTGGTGCAATCTCAGCTCACTGCAGCCTCCAGCTGCCAGGTTCCAGCAATTCTTCTGCCTCAGCCTCCCGGATAGCTGGGATCATAGGCATGTGCCACCATGCCCGGCTTTTTTTTTTTTTTTTTTTTTTTAGTAGAGGTGGGGTTGCACCATGTTGGCCAGGCTGGACTTGAACTCCTGACCTCAGGTGATCTGCCTGCTTTGGCCTCCCAAAGTGCTGAGATTACAGGCGTGAGCCACTGTGCCCGGCCAACTGAGCACTCTTTAGAAATGAAAACACAAAATCTCATCAAACTCTGGGGACACAGGCAGAGGGTCCTGCTCTGCTCTGCGGAAGCCCTGCTGGCCCGGGCACCGTTTAGCCAGGTCTGGTTTATCCTCCAGATTCAATCAGGAGGCACCTTTCAAAGTCAGGGGCCCGCCTGGGAGCTCAGTTCCCTGTGGGTGATTCTAAGGCACCTCCAGTCAATTCGCTCCCTCACAGAAGACGGGGGCAGGTCCAGGACTCTCTGGGGGCTTCACATATAGAAGTCTCATTTGCAGCTTCTGTTTGGGGGAGAAACATGAAGACTCCCTCCTTACCTCTTTGGTTTGCTGAGCGGTCAGGAGCAGCCCGCCCAGCAGAGCTCCCTCGATGGTCGAGATGCTGCCTCTGCCACGCTCAGCATGAGTGTGTGTGGTGTGGCGGCGCACCTGCAGGGCTGGGGGCTCCATTTCCTCCATGTCACTTTGTATTTTAACAGCCGTAGGCCAGCCCTTGCCACAAAGTCCGCGTGCTGGGCAGCGGGGGTTAGAACTGGAGCCCTTGGCCCCCGTACGGCAGGGGCTGTAATAAGCGGCCTGTGCCACATGGCCCAGACGAAGCCCTCACTTTATTCAGAAGAGCTAGCTTTTGACCAGAAAATGTGGTGGCCTGAGAGCCTGAGATCCGGGTGGTCACCCCAGGCAGAGAGTCCTCAGGCCTCACGGGTGCCCTGTCCACAGGCACTGGCAGCATCGAGATCCCTGTGCTCTGCTTGCTGGTCAATGGTGATCCCAGCACCTTGGAGGTAGGGGCCTGGCTGAGGCCCCCTGGCTGGCTGAAGCCTTGTGGAGGGGTTTGGTGGATTCTGGGCATCCCTGGGACGGGGCTGGAAGGGATGGGGGCCCCCCTGACACCTGCATCCAGATGTCGCCGGGATGATCTGGGCTCCACTCTCCCCTCCCTCCCCGTCTCAGAGGATCTCCAGGGCCGTGGAGCAGGCTGCCCCGTGGCTGATCCTGGCGGGCTCGGGGGGCATTGCCGATGTGCTCGCTGCCCTGGTGAACCAGCCCCACCTCCTGGTGCCCAGGGTGGCTGAGAAGCAGTTTAAGGAGAAGTTTCCCAGCGAGCATTTCTCTTGGGAGGACATCGTTCGCTGGACCAAGCTGGTATGCGTTTCTCCCTCTCCGTCCTCCCGACCCTCCTCCCTGGGTGGCGCTGGTCCTCTGGGAGAGCCCCTGCTGATGCAGCCTCCAGCCGACTCCCCCCACCTCAGACTGCCGGACCCCCCTCCCCCTCTCGCTTCAGGCCCACAGGGAGCAGAGGGACCCAGGCAGCCCCTTGGTCTGCGGGTGGTCCCGGGCCGGGCCCAGTGGGTGGTGGGCACGCAGGCTGCAAGGCTCACCTGGGGACACTGCCTGTGCCTCCGCTGGTGTCGACCACAGCCTTCCCCTGCCCCTGCCCCTGCCCCTGTCCTGGCTGAGGCGGCCCCATCGGGGCTCTGTTGTGGTGCCCAGCTGCAGAACATCACCTCACACCAGCACCTGCTCACCGTGTACGACTTTGAGCAGGAGGGCTCCGAGGAGCTGGACACAATCATCCTGAAGGCGCTGGTGAAAGGTGAGGGCGGGCAGGGTGGGCACAGCAGGCACCATCAGGCGGCTTCATGCTTGGAGACACTTTGGGGTTTAGCAGCCTGGCCGTTTGGGACGCTCGCCCGCCTGTCCCTTCCCGGGAAAGATGACACGTGATTCATGCATCTCTCTGTATTTGGCAAGTTTTATGACATGTGTTTTTTTTACCACAGCTTAAAACTATACTTAAAGCTCTCAATTCAGTGGGGTTTTTTTGGCGGGGGAGGTTGTTTTTTGTTTGTTTTGGTTTTTGGTTTTTTGAGATGGAGTCTCGCACTGTCGCCCGGGCTGGAGTGCAGTGCTACGATCTCGGCTCACTGCAACCTCCTCCTCCCGAGTTCAAGAGATTCTTCTGCCTCAACCTTCCAAGTAGCTGGGATTACAGGTGCCCGCCACCACACCCAGCTAATTTTTTGTATTTTTAGTAGAGATGGGGTTTCACTATGTTGGCCAGGCTGGTCTCAAACTCCTGACCTCGTGATCTGCCCACCTGGACCTCCCAAAGTGCTGGGGTTACAGGCGTCAGCCACCACGCTGGCCAATTCAGTGGTTTTTAGTATATTCGCGAGGTGGGGCAACCATCACTGTTATCTAATTCCAGAAGCCTTCATCGCCCCAGAAGAAGCCCATACCCCTTGGCACTCACTCCCCATTTTCCCCCAGCCCCTGGGAACCATCGATCTGCTTCCTGTCTCTATGGATTTGCCAACGGGCGTTTCGTGTCCATGGCTCCCTGCAGGAGTGGGAGGGTTTCACGGTTCATCCGTGTTGCAGCGTATACCATTTCATGCTTCATTCCTTTTGTAAGGCAGAGTCAGGTTCCAGCCTGTGGACAGACTGGCTGATGCATCCGTTCACCCGCTGATGGAAAATTTCGATCAGCATTTGATGTACTTTTTGTTGGAGACAAACACGTGCTGAAGGGCTGGCTGCTGGCAGGCAGACATAGCCCCAGCAGGGACGGGCGCTGCTGAGCAGGGTCTGGGGACACCTTGAGTGAGGGGCCGCTCTGGGAAGGGTGTCTGGACTGCGGGTAGCTCGGGATTTAGCAACCTCACCAGGACAAGGAGGTCAACGGAGCCCCCCTGTTTAGGAACCCCCCTGTTTAGGAGCTCCCCCACCCCTTCTCATGAGTCTCAGTTTGGTCCCAGCGGCCTGAGAGAGGTACCGTAGTCTTATGGGGTCTACGACTGTGGAGGCTGAGGCTGGCAAGGATGGCGGTTTCCAGCAGACACACTCGGCCCAGGTGCTGCAGGCCTCCCTCGAGTGACCCTGGTGACCTCACCAAGTCATGGTCAAATGCCCTTGCCCGTAGAGGAAACATGGCCCAGCATGCTACCCTGACAACATCCAGGAAGTGGCCTCAAGGCCCAGGTGTTAGCTGGGGTACCCCCGTTGCGGCCGAGGAAGGTGCCTCACATGGGAGCAGATGGGCCATGCTGACACAGACCAGGGCAGTGCGCCTTCTCCTGCGGTTTGCACAAAGTCTTATGCCTCCTGCTGGTGCTCAGAAGTGGCACACGTGCCCCCTCAAGTCCCAGCATGAAACTCCCGTTTCCACGTCTCTAGGCAGCCCACCTTCGGGGACCCTGTGCCCCAGCTCTGTCAGGCCCTCAGCTTCACCCTCGCCAGTGCCTGCCTGCTCTGCCCACAGCCTGCAAGAGCCACAGCCAGGAGCCTCAGGACTATCTGGATGAGCTCAAGCTGGCCGTGGCCTGGGACCACGTGGACATCGCCAAGAGTGAGATCTTCAATGGGGACGTGGAGTGGAAGGTGCCTCCCAGTCTGGCCCACCCGCCTCCCCCTCCTGGCACTGCCCAAGCTGCCTACGCTGCCTGCTCCTGCACCCTGCGGGCTGCTTGGCTGAGCCCATTCTGCCCAACTGTCCCAAAGTCCGGGGCAAGACCAGGCCACACGGTTCCGCCCGGGCTTCTGCCTCGTTCGCTGGCCCAGGCAGAGCCGGCTGGGTGCCAGCTGTCCCCGAAGCCCAAGGGGGTCGTGACACCCTCAGCATTTTCTCACGACTGGCCCCTCTGTGCCCGCCCCAACTCAGGGAGCAGGCTGGGGTGCAGGAGAGCACGAGGGTCTGCGTGACCTGGCCCTGGGGATGGGGTGCCCGTGCTCCCTGCTCTCTCCTTCCTTGGGCCCCCCTCCTCCTGTCTCTCACTCACTCTCTTGCCCCCCTTCCCTTGGGTTCCCATGGCCACCAAGTCCTGTGACCTGGAGGAGGTGATGGTGGACGCCCTGGTCAGCAACAAGCCCGAGTTTGTGCGCCTCTTTGTGGACAACGGCGCGGACGTGGCTGACTTCCTGACGTATGGGCGGCTGCAGCAGCTTTACCGCTCCGTGTCGCCCAAGAGCCTGCTCTTCGACCTGCTGCAGCGGAAGCAGGAGGAGGCCCGGCTGACGCTGGCCGGCCTGGGTGCCCAGCAGGTCCGGGAGCCACCCACGGGGCCACCCGCCTTCTCCCTTCATGAGGTCTCCCGTGTACTCAAGGACTTCCTGCAGGACGCCTGCCGAGGATTCTACCAGGACGGACGGCCAGGGGGCCGCAGGAAGGCGGTGAGCGGGGCTCCAGGGAACGGGGGGTGAGACAAGGGCCACAGTGGGAGGCCGACGCCCATGTCCTCCAGGAGAAGGGCCCGGCCAAGCAACCCACAGGCCAGAAGTGGCTGCTGGACCTGAACCAGAAGAGTGAGAACCCCTGGCGGGACCTCTTCCTGTGGGCCGTGCTGCAGAACCGCCACGAGATGGCCACCTACTTCTGGGCCATGGTGAGCCGAGGCCGCGGGTCCAGCGTGGGGGCGGGGGAGGGACGGCCTCCTGAGACCGGGTCTCCTAGGGCCAGGAAGGTGTGGCAGCCGCTCTGGCTGCCTGCAAAATCCTCAAAGAGATGTCGCACCTGGAGACGGAGGCCGAGGCAGCCCGAGCCATGCGCGAGGCGAAGTACGAGCAGCTGGCCCTGGGTGAGTGACCGGCCGGGGCCAGGCCCGCGTGTCGGGGGAGGATGTGACAGAGGGTCAGACAAAGGGTCCTGGGCCTCACCAGGGCCGCCTGTTACCGCTGTGGGGCTCCAGGTACCCTCAGTGGCCTCCTCTGTAGGAGAGGACAGACGGCTCTGCCTAGGGTGGAGGCAGCCCCAGACCCTGAGTGTGGGACCGCTGGGCACATGGTGAGGAAGATAGAGCCTCACGCCCCAGGCATGCACTGGGCCCTGCCGCGGGACAAGGGACATTCAGGGCGGCGGAGGCCCCCTCATCCTGCTGGGGGAGGGAAAGAGCCAGAGAAGGACAAAGGGTCAGGAAGGGTCCAGAGCAGGCCAGGCGGGGGCAGAAGGCCTGGCTGGGCCCTGGGAGGTGAACGCAGGGTGCGGCCACAGACCCCAGGTCTGGGCGGGGGATGGAGGAGGGGCGTTGGGGGCCGGGCATCGGTGTCTTGTCCTAGCGGCCAGGGTCTCCGGGGGCAGACCTCTTCTCTGAGTGCTACAGCAACAGTGAGGACCTCGCCTTCGCCCTGCTGGTGCGCCGGAACCGCTGCTGGAGCAAGACCACCTGCCTGCACCTGGCCACCGAGGCTGACGCCAAGGCCTTCTTTGCCCACGATGGCGTGCAGGTGAGTGCCAGCTGGCCTGGGGGAGAGCTGCTAGGGGGCAGGGCTGGCGGGCGAGCTGGGCCCAGCTTGAGTTGACTTCGCAGCCTGCGGCTGCCCTGTCACTCCCGTCCCCAGCACAGGGGAGTGGGGTGGGGCTTCTGTTCCTGGAAGGCGCCCCCTGGCTTCCTCCCCAGGCACATTCCTGCCTCTGGGCTCAGCGGAAGTGCCACTTCCTCCTCTCAGTCCTTCCCAACCACCAAGCCCAATCTTTTCCCTAGTGAAGGGCACAGCAGCTCAACCCACACCCCTGCGATGAGCGTCCCGAGGAGCACGTCCCCCACCAGGATGGGGGCTCCAGGAGGGAAGGCTGGGCTCACGTGGGCCAGGCACCTGGGCATTCCTGGGGCAGGGCATAGCCTGGGCGAAGGGGCAGAGGTGGAGCCAACAGTTTTGCCTTCACCTCAGGCCTTCCTGACCAGGATCTGGTGGGGGGACATGGCTGCGGGCACGCCCATTCTGCGGCTGCTAGGAGCCTTCTTCTGCCCCGCCCTCGTCTATACCAACCTCATCACCTTCAGGTGGGTCAGGCCTGTGGGCTGCCTGCTGGCTGGGGCAGGCACCAGTGCATGTGCCGGAACCACAGGGAGGGCCTGGGCCTCGCTGGTGCTGGTGGCAGCCTGACTCTGTAGCCCCCAAGTCCAGACTCCCTGCAGGTCCCACTCCCCACAGTCCTTGCACCCAGTGGGCACTTTGATGGCCAAGCGCCCGGAGCCACGCAGGCGCCTCTGGGAGTCCTTCCTGCAGGCCCTGAGCTCTCCTGTGCTTGCAGTGAGGAAGCCTCCCTGAGGACAGGCCTGGAGGACCTGCAGGAGCTGGACAGCCTGGACACGGAGAAGAGTCTGCTGTACGGCCTGCACAGCCGGTGCGAGGCAGAGGGCCGGGCAGGGTGGAGGGGACCGGCGGGCGGTGGCTGGGAGGCTGGACTGTGGTGGGGCACCCAGCTGGGCGCCAGCCTCACCGCTGCGGCCTTCTCTGCGGCACAGGGTGGAGGAGATGGTAGAGGCGCCGAGGGCTCAGGGTGGCCGAGGCCCGCGTGCTGTCTTCCTGCTCACACGCTGGCGGAAGTTCTGGGGCGCTCCCGTGACTGTGTTCCTGGGGAATGTGGTCATGTACTTCGCCTTCCTCTTCCTGTTCACCTATGTCCTGCTGTTGGACTTCAGGCCGCCCCCCCAGGGACCCTCAGGGCCCGAGGTCACTCTCTACTTCTGGGTCTTTACACTGGTGCTGGAGGAAATCCGGCAGGTAGGTGGCCACACTAGCTTGAGTCCCCTCCACTCTGCAGCTTCAGGTTGGGCAACCTAAGCTGGGTCCTACCCTCTCGGGGTGGGGCTACCCATCTGTAGAACAAGAACAGCATGGGGCCTCCCACCTTCCCAGTCACCAGTGGCCATGATCCTGGTCAAGGACCCAGCCCTGAGCCCTGCTCCAGACCGAGCCCTGAACCCTGCTCCAGACCGAGCCCTGAGCCCTGCTCCAGACTGAGCCTTCATCCCTGCCCCAGACTGAGCATGACCATGGTCTCCTTCATCAGAGTCTGAACCCTGACCTGTATCACAGACTGAGTCCAGACACTGAATAAACTGATCCCTAGACTCTGGGCACAAAGAGCCCTGACTCCAAGTGGAGACTGACCTCAGCTTCTGTCCCCAGACAGCCCTGGAATAGCTTCAGTGGACCCCCAGTCCCACTGGTAGCCTGGGCCCTGGTCATAGATGGAACCCCGATCCCCATGGCACACTGAACCCTGATCCTTACAGATCTGAGCTTGGCCAGGTAGGGCTGTCCCCAGCGAGGGGGCCTGGACAGCTCTCAGTGGACTGCCTGCCTCCCTCCCAGGGCTTCTTCACAGATGAGGACACACACCTGCTGAAGAAGTTCACACTGTATGTGGGGGACAACTGGAACAAGTGTGACATGGTGGCCATCTTCCTGTTCATCGTGGGTGTCACCTGCAGGTCTGTGGGGCCCAGAGGCCGTGTGGCCTCAGGGGGGCTTGTGGGCAGGCTTCCAGATGAAGCCACTCAGGTCGGGCGTGGTGGTGGCACCTGTGGTCCCAGCTACTCAGGAGGCTGAGGTGGGTGGGTCACTTGAGCCAGGGAATTTGAGGCTGCAGCAAGCTGTGATCACGACACGCACTCCGGCCCGGGTGACAGAGCAAGACCCTGTCTGCTAAAAATAAATAAACAAAAGATGAAGCCACTCAGGGCCTCAGGAGTCCTGGCCTGGCCCTGGCCCTGCCCACACCCAGCATGCTGTGTGCCCCTGGGGAAGCCTCTGCCCCTCTCTGGGCCCCGCAGCCACATCAGCCTCCCACCCTCCAGGATGCTGCCCTTGGCGTTTGAGGCTGGCCGCACAGTCCTCGCCATGGACTTCATGGTGTTCACACTGCGGCTGATCCACATCTTTGCCGTACACAAGCAGCTGGGCCCCAAGATCATCGTGGTGGAGCGCATGGTGAGCCCCGGGCCTGGCCCTGGAGGGACAGACAGCCCCTGCCCGGGTCCCTGGCTGGCCACTGACGCCTCTCTTTCTGCCCCACCCTGTGGAGATGAAGGACGTCTTCTTCTTCCTCTTCTTTCTGAGCGTGTGGCTTGTGGCCTATGGCGTCACCACCCAGGCGCTGCTGCACCCCCACGACAGCCGCCTGGAGTGGATCTTCCGCCGGGTGCTCTACCGGCCTTACCTGCAGATCTTTGGGCAGATCCCACTGGACGAGATCGATGGTTTGCACACAGCCAGCGGGGGTGGGGCGGGGAGCGAATGAAACCCTGTGTGCACAAGCCCTGGGCACGAGTCTCTCCAGAGGGGTCTGCTGGGGCTGGGGAGACCCCAGACTGGGGCAGAGATGGGAAAAGTGGCTGAGGCCTGGTCCCCAGGCCCCCCACACCCCAAAGGGCCAGGCCTGGTTCCCGAGGCAGAGGCATCTCCAGTCACGGAGCCCCGACCTGGGGCCTTGGGCTGGGAAGGAGACACAAGGAGACCCCAAGGCAGCCAGGACTGGCCTCCTGCTTGGGAAGGCCAAGCGGCAAGTCTTGCTCTGGGGGTGGTCTATTGGGGGCGAAGGGATGGGCAGTCACTAAGGGCACAGAGTGGGCCCAAAGGCTGTCCCAGCTATCGTCTGGGTCTGGGCCCTCCGGCTCTCCTCACGGCCCCTGGCCTCTGCCCTTCTCCCACAGGGCCCTGCTTGACCTAGGTGCCCCGTCACCCACCCACCCACCAGAGCCCTTATGCCGTCCTTCCACCATGCGACCACTCCTAAAGGCACGCTGGCTGCTCCTGGGGACCCACCCCAACGTGTGTGTGTGGCCTGTCCGTGCCTGTGGCTGTCCCCAGGCCGACCCCTGTAGCTGGCTGGGGCTGGTGGAGGCTCTGGAATCTTTTTCATAAGCCAGTGCAGTGGGGAGGGCAAGGGGGGACAGAGCCGCTTGGCCATGGGGGCCTCTGTGCTGATGGGTTGGTGGGAAGCTCAGGGATGGGGAAGCTCAGGGATGGGGCAGGGACCTGTGCAGGCCCCTGGGATGGCTGGGACTCAGTGAGGAGCCCTGACCTGGGAGGGGACGCACACCTATGGGAAGGTGGGCCAGCAGCCAGCCAGCCCCTGGGGCCCTCGAGGGGTGCCGTATGCTTGGAGATCCAGCAGAGAAGGTGCTGGAAACATTGTTCAGGCGGTGTCAGGCGGCTGGGGCTGCCCAGCATGGGGCAGTCATGGCACAACGTGCTGCCCAGGCCTGACCCCGACCTCTGTGGAGTGGCGCTCAGGATCTGCGATAAATATTTGTTGATGGGATGACGGCCAGACCGGAGCAAACACAGGCCTCCGGGACAGGCGTGGGCGACGCCGTGATGGAAATCGCCTCTCCCAGCGCGGCTCATTTCCTTGGGCTGTTTTCTTAGCCCCCGCAGCCCCTCCTGACATTTTGGTGTTTGCTCATCACAGGCATTCATTTTCCAGGCCATTAGTTTAACCAGACCCTGCCTGCCTGCGACCCCACCTCGCCCTCACCATATGGTCTCCAACACTGCCCTGTCCGCAGGGCCCCTCGGGGCAGGAGGAGCTCTAGACAGGCGCCTCCAGCCGGGGCAGGGTTGGGGGTCCCCCCTTTCTTGAGTGGCTGCATCTCTGGCGGGCCAGTCCCAGACACCGTATGAGGAGACAGGCCTGGCCATAGCCTCCTTGTCAATGGGAGAAGGCGGGAAACAGACTCCTGAGGAGCCTGCTCCGAGTGCTGCCCCAGGGAGGTCTGCGGTGCTGCCGGGCTCTCTCAGGGAGGTCTGCGGTGCTGCTGGGATCTCAGAACCCTGTGCTGAAACACCTACAACAGGGCCAGCCCCGGCCGCACACTGAGTCTCAGATGTGTCACTTCCCCTCTCTGAGCTGCAATTCCTTGGGGTCAGTTCAGCCGCCAAGCAAATGTCTGGGCCCTTCAGGCTGAACCCAGCCACTCACTGTGAGCCCCTCTGCTGCTGGGCAGAGAGTCACTCACACATGCTGGGCTGATGGGCAGAGAGTCACTCACACATGCTGGGCTGAGAGGGAGACTGAGGCTCAGACAGTTTCTGCACAGCCTGCAGGTCTCCTCAGAGCCCAGGACAGCCCCCTGCCCCACTCTGCACTCGTGCCAAGCTGGAGCTGGGGTTGAACTGTGGTGATGAGCTTGTTCTCTGGGGCTCCAGGCCCCAGGGACAATTTAATTTCCAGCCCGGCCTGGTGGCGCCTTCCCAAATCACAGAGTCGGGGAGGGTGTGGGGGTCTCATTCCTCAGAGCTGCTTTTATCAGACAGATTTACGGCTTCACAAACAGGCTCTCCAGGCTGGCCCTGGCCCGCTCCTCCAGAGTGCAGGGACAAGAGGGGTCATCAGTCTGCCCAGGAACAGATTCATGGGCTGGAGGTGGCCAGGGCGGGCAGAGGAGGGGCAGGCCTGGGGTGGGAGCGTGGGGAGGGCTGGTGCTCGCTGGCTGCCAGTGCACACACAAACACTCAATAACTCACACACGGGCCAATGTGTCACAATAACTCACTCGGGAGAAACAAGGCAGGAATTCACCCCAGGAAGGAGAACGGACCCCTCCAGCTCAGGACCCAGGCACAGAGGCAGGAACCTGGGAACAGGGAGACCCCCAGAACCCACCACAGAGCAACCTGGAGCTGGCAGGCACCAAGACACACTTGAATGTGCCCGTGTGTGTGCCAGTGTGTTCACACAGATGCACACATGAGCATGTGTGCCAGGCACATCCAAACACATGTACAGGCTCACACAGACACAACCCAGCGTGCGGGCTGGGGAGGGAGGAGACAGCGGAGCTCCCATTAGGATATGGAGGGGATATGTGGTCCTGGATGGCTGAGGCACGCTCTGGCCTCTGGCTGGGACCCTGTGCACCCTGACTCCCACTGTGGCTCCCTCCTCCCTCCTCCTGGCCTGCAGGCTGGGGTGGGGTGGGGGTCCAAGGCTGAGCCCTGCAATGAAGAAGCCGGTGTGAGGTTCTGGTTTTAAGGGACTGGAGTGAGATCTGCTGCCCCTCCAGGGTGTCTCTGCCCAGGGCCGAGGGAGCTCAGCCTGCCAGCTCCCAGAGTGCACTGCCTGAAGAATGTTCTTGACTTGAGTGGCCCAGTGTGGGATCGGTGCCCTCAGGGCTTGCAGCGAGCCCTGTCTGGAGCCTGCTGGCCCAATACAGTTTGGAAAGGTGGTGGAATTACTCCCCAGCTTGGAGTATGATCACAGGGGTTAGTGCTGTAACGGCTCTGAGACGTCCTGCAGTAAGGACCCCATCTCCCTTTCCTCAGCAGCTTCCCCAAACCTTCAACAGCAGAGGCTTTTCTGGGATGAGGGGTGGAGGTTTTAACACACACAACAACCGGCAGAAACCTGTGTCCCATGACCCCTCTGTCCCCCACCTTCCATCCCTCCGGGGGTCTTGGCTCTACCTCCAGGGCCTGTGGCCCTGGCTGACTCCAGTCCCTGGTGGAAGCCCAGCAGACAAGGCAGAGGGGACCCAGGGTGGGGCTCACCATCCGTCTGGTTCTGGTTTGCTGTGATGGGGGTTTTGGTGCTAAAACCTAGGCCATCCTGGGTGAACTGGGACAGTGGGTCACCTAACTAGCACCTGTGTCCCCTGGGTTCAACACTGAGACTAAGCTCTCTACCTCAGGGTGTTTGCCTGAGGCCGCCCTTGTGGCTGCCCCTGGTCTGGTCCCCACGGTGGTCCCCACGGCACCCTTGCCTTCCAGAAGCCCGTGTGAACTGCTCCACCCACCCACTGCTGCTGGAGGACTCGCCATCCTGCCCCAGCCTCTACGCCAACTGGCTGGTCATCCTCCTGCTGGTCACCTTCCTGTTGGTCACCAACGTGCTGCTCATGAACCTGCTTATCGCCATGTTCAGGTGACTCCACCCAACCCCCCGGAGGAGAGCGCCCTGGAGCGGAGGGAGCAGAGGGTCATTCCCCAACACCGCCTCCTTCGAGGTCCACCTGCTGCGCCGAGAGGGTGGGGCTTGGTGCCCCAGGGCAGATAGGAGGTGGCACAGCCCGGACTGCGGGGCTTTGCCTGCCCAAGACCTCGAACTCTGTGGGCCGCCCTCCTGGTCCCAGGAAGCAGGGCCTGGGTCTTTGGGGGACGGGTGCTGTGGCGAGAACTCTGGGCTTGTCCAGGAGAGCAGAGCGAACAGGGGAAGACCCAAGGAGAGTGCAGAAGCAGTGCTGGGCCTCGGCCCCTCGTGACACACCCCACAGGCAACGCAGCAGCAGTGCTGGGCCTCGGTTTCAAAAAGGGCTCCCCAACAGCAATCTGGGTGCAGGTGGGATGCGTCCCCCCGGTGGGCGTGGGGAGCCGGTAGGTGACGGCTCGGCTGTGCCCCTGCAGCTACACGTTCCAGGTGGTGCAGGGCAACGCAGACATGTTCTGGAAGTTCCAGCGCTACAACCTGATTGTGGAGTACCACGAGCGCCCCGCCCTGGCCCCGCCCTTCATCCTGCTCAGCCACCTGAGCCTGGCCCTGCGCAGGGTCTTCAAGAAGGAGGCGGAGCACAAGCGGGAGCACCTGGGTGAGGCCAAGGCAGTGGGTCCCAGGGCGGGGCTGTACGCAGGAGGCGGGTCTGGAGAGACCTGGACCCCTCCTTAGCCCCGTGGGCCCTCGGCTGGGCTCTGTGCAGGCTGGCACAGCTGAGCCCGTCCTCCTGCAGCTTGGCTGTCCCTGCACAGGGTTGTTCTCGCCCTCCATCCGCTGGCTGCGCCCCACTCACTCCTGCCTGGCCTACCTCGCCCCGGGACCAGGCCTGGGCTCTGCCACTGAGGCCCATGTGCTCTAGTAATGCTGACTGCCGCCCCGCTTTCCCAGAGAGAGACCTGCCTGACCCCCTGGACCAGAAGGTCGTCACTTGGGAGACAGTGCAGAAGGAGAACTTCCTGAGCAAGATGGAGAAGCGGAAGAGGGACAGCGAGGGGGAGGTGCTGCGGAAAACCGCCAACAGGTGTGGGGGCCTGTCCTGATCACTGGTGGGTGTCGGGCTGCCTTTAAGCAGGGATGTGCCCTTGGCGTCAGTGACAGAGGATCTGAGCTGGGGAGCCGAAGCTGAACGGGTAGGGGCAGGGCCCTGGCCAAGCCCAAGGGCCTCACTTTCCAGCCTGACCTGTGCAGGACCCTGCTGGGATGCCCGGCCAGGCGAAAAGGGAGCGTGCACGGTGACTGTGGCGCCCTCCCTGCTGTGGTCTTGGGAGTGGGACTCTGCTCATCCCAGCTTCCCTCCAGCCCTGGCTCCAGGGGCCTGTTCCCGACTGCCTGCCCTGTACCGTCTTGCTGGGTGGTATGCCCAGGCAGGGACGGCACCCCAGCCCTACCAGGAAGGCACAGAGCGCTCTGTACCTGCGCCAGGTGCACTTTGAGGGGTCCTGGTGCCACCAGATCTGGGCATGAGGGGGGAAGGGAAAGGGCCAGGGCACCCAGACTCAGGCACACAGGGAGGCCTGAGGGGATGGGGAGGCTCCCCACACGTGGAGTGCTGCGTGGCCATCCACAGCTACCCGCCTGCTCCTGCCGCAGAGTGGACTTCGTTGCCAAGTACCTCGGGGGGCTGAGGGAGCAAGAAAAACGCATCAAGCATCTGGAGTCACAGGCAAGCGAGCCCCGGAGCTCCTCTCCCTGACGGGAGGCGGGTGGCCGCGTGGGGCGACTGGGACCTGCCCACAGCCCTGCCCGGTCGTTCACAGAAATGAGCCAGACCAGAGCCAGGACAGGAGCACCCCAGTGGGTGGAGGAAGGTCCTGGGGAAGGGGGCCGTCCCCACCTGTGCCTGCTCCCACCCTGCCACTTGAGAGGCCACAGCCTTAAATGAGGGGTGTCACGTTCATGACCCCTCGCATTTCACTCTACACGCCTCACGGGAGCCTTACCCACCCCTGCCTTTGAGTGGCAGCTCCCAGAGGGAGGAGTCCCGGGGCAGCGGGGCCCTGGCAGGAGAGGGAAGATGGGGAGGTTGCCTGTCCCCTGCTGTCCTGAGCGCCCTGGAGCTTCCCGGACATGTTTCTCTCCTCCAGATCAACTATTGCTCGGTGCTCGTGTCCTCTGTGGCTGACATGCTGGCCCAGGGTGGCAGCCCCTGGAGTAAGCCTGTTTGGGGAGCGTGGGATGAGGGTGGGCATGGGCACCCACCCTGCAGCAGCTGGTGGGAGCAGGTGGGGGGCCGTAGGCTGTGCTGTGTACTCTGCCTTCCCTGCCTGGCCTGGGAGTCTCAGGAGGCCTTGGCTGGACACGGTTCTTCAGGGCGGTGTGGGAACCCTCTGATGGAGCCCTGGCCTCGGCCAGGGTCAAATGTGGTTCACTCAGACTCCTGAGGCTCTGCTTGGCACAGGCCCTACCAGGCTGTCCTGCTCAGGAGGCAAAAGGGCCCCTCAGCCTCACGGGAGTTGCTTTCCTAGTCCCAGGAGTGCAGGTGGAGGCCTGGTTGTCTCTGGGCTCCCCATCTTCCCCAGGCTGGCCTGTGAGGACTCACTCTGAGAGTCATGGCATCCTGGCCCTTGCCTCTGAGCCAGCTACCTCTCCCCTTCCTGGGCCTGCCCTGCCGGCTCCCACCGCTCAGGGGGCCTTCCTTCCCAGCAGGCTCTCGACACCGTGGCGGGGGAAGCCGGCTGGTGGCCTCTGACCACAGAGGGGGTTTAGATGGCCAGGAACAACCCGGGGCTGGCCAGCCTTCCTTGGACACCTAAGCTGCTTGGCCTGCCATATGTGGGGCCACCTCACCTCAGCAGGCCACCCTGGGTCTTGTGCACTGACCTTTGCTGACCTCCAGCGGAACCCCCAGGGGGCAGCAGACCCCCCAGCAGACAACGGCCCTCCTGGTGCCTCACCAGACCCTCACCCAAAGGAACCGCTCCTTGTCCCTCCCGGCCTCCCTGGGGGCACCACAGTGTCATGGGGCTGTCTACCCTGACAGGCACAACTCCCCGGGCAGAAAACGTGCCCCACCGTAACCCTACCTGGAAACTGACCAGCCTGCACTGCAGAAAAGCTGGCCCTGCGGTGCGACGGGGGAGCACCCCCATCCAGACTGAGCAGCTGCTGTGGGGTCTGCACCCACCCCTGCCCTGACTTGTGTTGCCTGACAAGAGACTCATCTTTTTTTGAAACACTAGTGGTTAGAATTTCTGCCACTTAAGACCCAAAAGGTCGTTTGGGGCTCAGGTGATCGGCTCCTGGAAGACAGGGCTGGGCACCCACGGCGTCTGTCAGCTGTCCCCCCAACACCCAATGGCCAGTACAGCATACACTGGTGTTTATGGCGCTAGGACACAGCCCCTGTTGGTGCCAGTGGCTGCTTTATCTCCAGTGGAGCCTGGAAAACACCCAGATAAAACTGGACCCCTGGCTCAGTCAAACACCTGCCCAAGCCCCGCAACTGCCCATTCACACCCCAGCCTCCTCTGTCCAGACCCGTTTTGTCATCTCCCTGTCGCCTCCCAAGCTGTGGTCCGCACTAGGCCTGGGGCTGATGGCATCCTGTGGGCTTTGGTTGGGGGAGGGCAGATTCTGGACCCACTCAGGCCCATTGAGGGTACTCGCTGGACACCTGCTACTGAGCCACAAGCCCTAGAGAAGGCCTAGGGTTGCCAACTCTTGCTGTCACCTGGGTGATCTGCTGTTGAGGGATGCAGGTGTCAGCCACCCTCGAGTGGTCCAGCACTGTCAGGTGTGGGGACCTCTTGCTGCCGACAGACCCCTTTGAGTAAGCAGGGCCCAAATATACACAAAGTCTGAGAAAGACCCACAACCTTTATTGTCCCCACCAGGAAGCCAGTGCTTCCAGCCCACTACCCCAGGAGCCTCAGCAGGTCTCTGCTTGGGAGGACGCTGCCCAGAGCTGCAGCCAGGGCCTCCAGTGCCACCTACAGGCAGCCTGCAGGCTTCCTCCCACTCCAGCTGGGCAGTGGCCAGGCTGCCCCTTGACCAGCCCCACTAGGAAGGCAGCAGGATGGCAGTGGCCAGTGTGGTCAGGCTGGGCCATCTCCCTCTCAGACCTCAGCACCTGGGTCCTCAGGGCTGCTGCCCTTGTTCCGGAAGTGGTCTCGACTCCGCTTCCTGCTGCCATGGAAGCCAACAGTCTCCACCGGCGGGAGACCTGGCACAGACCCACTGTGGACAGGCCCTGACAGTGCCTCCACCTCCTGCAGGCCCCCATGGGGGCTGCCCCACTCCTCGGCTTCTGGGCTCCCGGGCCCGGCCAGATGGGCCAGCTCCACAGGGCCCTCGCCCCTGTCTGTGGCAGGGTTCCCAAGGCCACCCCTGCCCAGCTCTCCCACCTTCCCCAGGACCCTCTTCCTCTCGTGTCTGGCCTCGACCCCTCGGACTGGTTTGGTGAAGACGACCCTCCCCTCCCCACAGCTGGAGGGGTCCTGGTTGAAGGAGGACACGCAGTCAGTGGGGGCAGCCAGGCTCTGGGAGCCCAGGAAGGCCAGGGCGGCGGCCTGATTGCTCTGCTCGCTGACCTCGGTCACATCTTCCAGGCTGTACTTGGTCCAGCGCTCGGGGTGTGCCACGTAGTCGGGGACCGGAGGCACCCTTGGGGAGGCAGGGCTCCGACGGGCCCTGCCCAGGCCTTCCACTGGAGACTGGCCTGCGGGTGCTAGGGGCTGCTTGAAGCCTCCATTGTCACTCATGCTGGTGTGGGCCACAGAGGATGGAGCCCTCCTGGCCGCTCCCTCCAGGCAGTCAAAGATGTCACGGCTGCGCTGGGAGAAGGTGGAGCTCATGCCTCTCAGATGGAATGGCTGCACCGTGGCCGGGAGGAGGCCTGACGGGGGTGAGGGTGGTTCATCAGGACCTGAATCCTCCTCCCCAGGCAGCCCCATCGGGGACAGTGCTTCCACTTCAGCACCACCGGGCAAGCTGAGGTCAGAGTCCGAGTCACTGAGGGAGACTGTGTCGGAAGGCAGTGTGTCATACTCCGTCCCGTGCTCGCCCTCCACGCTGGGGGACGGCGCACCTGTCCCTGCATCAGCCATGGGTCCCCAGGGCCACGCCACACCTAAACCAAAACGGCCCAGGAAGTTTGTCTCTCAGGAGGAACAGTATTGAGAATGAGTTTCCCCTGCAGATCCACTGCCCCTGGACAAGTAGAGAATCAACTGACAGAACTGTCCCACACAGGGTGGAGTCCCGCCTCCCCCTCCAAGCCCTCCTCTCACCTCTCTTGGCTGCTGGGTGCCAGTGGTTGACACTGGAGTGTGACTGGACAGCCAAGTGGGCCAGGTGAACGGAGCCCTGATGAAGGTCCTCAGTGGCACAGGCGTGGTCGTCTCAGGCCTGGGAGTGCCCCAGCACCGCCGCTGTTCAGCTGCTCAACTGCAGGTGGGTGGCGTGGGGGAGAGGACCAACCTCAGACCAGTGCACACATGTGTGAAACAGGTTGTGTCCAGTGCCAGCACATTGTCACCCCTCAAGGTGCCCGGCAGGACCGACCTAAGTCTGGGTTTTCAGAGCCCCTGACAGGCTAGGACTCAGGGTAGGGACTTTTGACTCGTTACCTCATTTAATCGTGCCAACCCTCTGCAGGCAAGCTTGGAGCTACTAAGCGATTTTAGTAGTGCAGCCACCCAGGGCTTAAACCCAGGGCCGAGATCAGGCAGGAGGACCACTTATAAGCTGCTTGCTGTGCAGGGTGAGCAGTTGGTACTCCACAAAGAGCCGGCACCTTCCTGATCCACGGGGAAAAGGTTTGCTCCTATTTGCTGGAAGATACCCAGGAGCTCCCAAGGAATCTGCAGCCAAGGCCCTGGCATCTGAGGGTCAAGCTCTCAGGAAAGTGCGGTGTCAACCATCACCTTGAGCAGCCCTGCTAGGCAGAGGCAAATCCCCGCAGCTCCTGGAGCGACCTCCAGTGGCCTTCCTCCTGTAACACTCAGCACATACCTTGCCTTTCCAGCTGGGCAGACAAGTGCTGCCTCCTGTACCCATTTAGTGGTAGAGTGACTAGGTGCCTCAGAACTTGCGTTTCCAAGCAAAAAAGACGGCCCATCCACACCCTTCTTCACTGTCCTCGGCCATCCATCCACTGACTCCTCCCCTGCTACCAACACTCCTTGCCCGCCCAGGGTGACCTGTGTCTTGTGCACCCAACAAGGATGGGGTCAGGGGTACTATTAGGGACTGTCAGTGCCCTCCACCAGGTCAAACACAGGAAGGACCTCGATTCCTCTGAGGCCTGACTCTCCTCAGTGAAGAAGCCACCCCAAGGAAAGGCGATACCCAGCACCCCCCACACTGATGACCGTTTTAAAACTGGCAGGAACGGGGCGGGGGACATAATTTGCCCAAGTCACACAGTATGTTGCAGACGAAGCTGGAGGTCCAACCAGACCCCTGCTTCCCAGATTCGCACTCCCGTCCTCTGCAGCAGAACGCCGCCGCGGCCAGAAGCAGCCTGGTCAGCGGGGCACTCCGAAGGGGAGCGGGGATCGGGCTGCAAGACAGGGACTCCGCGAGTCCGTTCTCGGGGTTCTCGGCGAGATCCGGCAATGAGTGGAAGGGCAGAGTTGACTCCTTCATGTCTGGAGGCTGAAGGAAGCCGTCTCTTTCTCCACATGAATGCAGAGCCCGGCCTTTCTCCACTCTATGTGCCAGCAAGACCTCCCCGCCAGGGAAAAAACGAACTCTCAGTGCCAAGTTGGCTCTCGGTGCGAAGTCGGGCTGGACAGGCCCGGGTCCGGGCCTCAAGAGGATGTTGTGGGTGCCAAGGGCCCGGTCGCAAGGTACGGGGGTCGGCGAGCACAGCGGGGCCTCCGAGCTCAGGTGTTAAAGCTGCGCTCGGTGACCTTCCGGAGGCTCGGCCGGCCACCGTGGCCCGTCCTCCCTCAGCACAAACCTACCGGCTCAAGGATGCACGGCCATCTCCATCTTAGTCGGCGCCGCACCTCTGTGCGGCTAGCTCAGCCCTCTGGGAAACCGAGTGCTCTGCCAGCCGAGCGCCGCGGCTCCCGCGCCTGCAGAACTACAACTCCCACAAGGCACTGGGCTGCCACTCCCGACGCCTGTCGGGGTGTGTAGCCCTGTGCGCATGCGCCCGCCCCTCTACTCTACGCCCCGGCCCTTGGGTCCGGCTCGGAAGCGGCCCCGGAAACGACGGCATTTGTTGGGGAACCAAGACCGGAATTGACCAAGAAGAACAGGAAGAGGAGGGGCCAGGCCTGCAATTCCCAGAATGCTCGACGGCTAACCGACAGCGGGGCCGGCTTCCCGTGGTCCCAGCGCCACCTGCCGGAAACCGCGAGAACAGCGGCCGCCCCAGGCAGGAAGTGCATCATCTCGTATGGAGAACGAATGCCGTTCCCGGCACTTCCGGTCATGACCGGAAGCGGTAACTGTCGCTCCTCCTGGGCTTAGTTAATGCAGCGAGGCGGGGCTCCCCGGGATCCCAGGGTCCCGCTCAGGCCAGACGCAGAGGCGGTCCCAGCCCGAGATGAGGACGCGGGGTCGTGGCCGCTGGGTCACGGGTGAAGGGGGCTTTACCCGCTGGCTGGGCCGACGCTTTCCCACCCCTAGGGGTTTACTGGGCCCTGGCCGCAAACTTGTGGGGCGTCGTCCTCACACAATTGCCCGGCCACCCTGACACCTCTGGGCCCTCAGCTCTGGTGCATTGGTCCGGGCTCCGGGAGGCACTGAGACGTCCCCTGAGGGCGCTGCGGGGAAGCCGGGGCCAAGTCCCTGGTCCTTCCGGGCAGGATGGAGGCCGCTGAACGCTCAAGCTTCCAAGTCAGCGTGGCTGGGTGGGTGGCAGCCGGGAAGGTTTGGCCTCTGCCATGCTTGGGAGCCTGTCCACGGCAGGGGGCAGGTCAGCTGCCCGCCCTGAAAGGGAAGACGAGGGCCCAGGTTCTCCCTTCGACAAGCCGCGTCTCCCTTGGCCACTGGGCCCTGTTGGCACCTTGTGCCCCTTCTCACCTGGGAGAGTTCATGCCCCACACAGTCAAGGAATCTGAGTTCCCCTTGGCTGCTAGACCTCTGGTCCCTCTGAAAGGCTCGAGAGAGAACTCCCCCAGGGCCTGCTGTCCTGGCATCCGCTGGGAAATAGGATTCAAGGACCTGCTGTGGCTCAGCCTAGAGAAAAGGAGGGGAAGCAGGACCCACTCCTCGGCCCCTAGTCTGCTGTGCGCCTTTGGGATACCTTATTCCTTAAACTGCTCTTCCCTCCCCACAGGGAACATAGTGGAAGTAGAGAGGGGGCTCCTTGAACCATCCTGTTACCCCAACCATTGCAGGCTTGGAAGTTGGGAGCAGCAGGGGAGGAGGGCCTGTTGAGAGACTCTGTAACCCCCTAAAATGCAGGGCTGGGGACAGTTTCCAAACTGGCCTGCAAAGAGGCTGCTGGGAGCCCTAGACATGAATTCCCAGGCACTCATTTCCTCCAGGGGTCAGTTAAATGTGCCAGCATCTCCCTCCCCGCAACTAGGGAAAAGCAGCCTGACCCAGAGCAAGCCCCACCCCACGATGTAGGGGAAGATAGGAGAGTCTAGACCAAGCCCATTGGCTGGAGGAGCTCAGACACAGGGAAAAGGACGGGTAGCGCAGGGGCTGCTTGGCCCCAGAGCCTGTCCACCCTCCAACCACCGCCCGCTGAGGGGCTGGGTGTGCTCCCTAGTAGGACGAGGTCTTTCTTCCCCTCCAGCCCCTTTGAGACATGGCTCAGGCCTTAGCCACCAGCTCTTCAAAGGAACACTTACAGGAAATAGATGGGCCGGACAGAGACCCTCAAATGCTCGGGAGGGGGCAGTGTGTCCATCCTTTGCCATCCCTTAGGAGGAGGAGGAGTCCTGTAGCATACCCAGCCCTGACCCCAAGCCCATCTCATACTGCATTCCCTGGCTGCCCGACCTCTCCTGCCAACCTACTGACACTGTGTGCTCCTCGTGTGCCCAAGGGGCATGGTGGAAGTGACTGCAGGCAACACAGGGCCTCTCCCAAAAGAGAACACAGAGAACCCTCCCAGAAAGGGCCCTTGCTACCTGGAGTTACTCCCTGGTTTAAACCCAAAGTAAAATTCTAAGCAACCCCAACCAACCGAATGGACACCTCTTGGCCAAAGGCATTCTAAAGTAAACCTGAAAAGCTAGTTCAGGCCCTGATGACCGTGGGTGGCCCAATGTGCCTCATTATACCCTCTTCCAGTGGGAACTGAGGCACAGCTGACCAGCATTCACATTAAAACAGATACCTTAGGCTGGGTGTGGTGGCTCACACATATAATCCCAGTACTTGGTGTATCACCTGAGTTCGGGTGTTCAGGAGTTCGAGACTAGCCTGGCCAACATGGCGCAACCTTGTCTCTACTAAAAATACAAAATTGGCTGGGTGTGGTGGTGCATTCCTGTGGTCCCACCTACTCGGGAGGCTGAGGCAGGAGAATTGCTTGAACCCGGGAGGTGGAGGTTGCAGTGAGCCGAGATCACGCCACTGCACTCCAGCCTGGGCGACAAGAGCGAAACTCTTGCCTAAAAATAAACAGAGACCTTAAGACTCACAAAACAGACTCTGTATCAATAAGATACCAACGTGACAGCAGGCCCTGAAATAAATCAAAGTATTTTACCCCAAAATATATTTCTCTGATGTATTTTGAAATGGCCCTGCAAAGCTGTCTCTTGGGAAAATCTACATTCAATAGAGAATTCCCCTCCCTTTCAGGGTCTATTTCCTGATCCAGGAGATAATTAACTAAGATTCTGGCACCTTTTTAAGTCTGATAAGAAACATTTACAATCCGGAGGCTTCATCTGCATAAGAAGAATCTTGGTCTCCACAACTCCTCCTCTTAACCCAGACAGTCCATTCTATTGATTTCAGGTCTTTAGATAAACTCAACCAATTGTTAATCAGAACATCTTTTAATCTGCCTATGACCTGAAAGTCCCTCCCCTTCAAATCGTCCCACCTTTCTGACTAAACCAACATACATCTTAGATGTATTGATCGATGTCTTATGTCCCTAAAATGTATAAATTCAAGTAGCCGGACCACCTTGGGCACCAGCTCTCAGGGCCACCCGGGGCTGTGTCAGAGGCCACAGGTGCTCTTATTTGGCTCAGAATAAATAACTCCGCAAATTTTACAGTGACTTCTTTTGTGAATACCAGGGATCCCAACCCACCCCCTCACCCTGGAGCCCACACAGTCCACAGAGCCAAGCCCCACCCGTGCCGGACGCCCCCGCCCTCTGGTCAACCCCTGGGTCTCAGACGCCACTGGCACTGAGGGGCTGGACAGGCCTGGTAGCATGCCTGACGTTCCTTCTTTATTAAATGACGGATTCAGGATGTTGTGATTACAGTTGGAGGTGACTGTTAGAAAGGACAGGTGCATGAAGGCAGAGAGTGCCCATAGACTCGGCTCTCGAACCGGGGCAGGAGGGAACAAGGTGAGCTGTGCAGCCCACAGGACGGGCGGGCTGGGTGGACACAGCCCCCCAGGTCGGCCAAGCTGAGTCTCTGGGCGAGTGGCTCCCAGGAGAGGCCTGGCTGAGCAGGCAGAACTCCCTGGGACCCCAGGGGCAGAAGGACCCCTGCCCTCCAGTCCCCAAGGCCCAGGCCCGTCTCCACTCACACACGCCACCTACATGTGACGTCAGCCCTGAAAAGGTAACAGGAAAGTTCAGAACAAAAACAAAACCTCAAAAGTAAAAAGGCTACGTGTAGCAGAGTAATACCGGAAACGTTATATACACAGGCGGTGATGGCCCCCTCAGAAGTGTCCGGGTCACTAGGGGGGCACTGCAGAGGTCCTTGCGGCCAGAGCTGCGGGGCCTCAGTACACGGAGCTGTTCCGGATGCCACAGCACAGCACCATGCTCAGGATCATCTCGAAGATCTGCGGGAGGGTGGTGGGGCGCTCCGTCATCATAGGGCCCTGCGGAAGGGGCAGCCCAGAGAACAGGCCCTCCACCCCCGCCCACTCACCATGATCACGGCGACCACGATGGCAGCAATGCCGATGAGGTACAGCTTCCCGGAGAAGAGCTCATCGATCTTCTGGTGGCAGTCTTTCTGCAGGGTGGCCAGGTGCGTGTGGTCAGGGACCGGGCCTCGGCTCCCGGCTCCCTGTTGTCACTCAGTAATCCGCGGTCACCACAGAAAGTGCAGAGGGGAATCCTGGAAACAGCCCCCACCCTCCACCCACCTCGGACCAGGTGGGTGCAGCGGCCCGGCCTCTGCCGGCTTTCTATTTTCCACCCTTTTTAACATAAACGCGAAATGCCTGGGACACACTATGCCCTTTTCCCCTGAGATCACGATCATTGGTGTCACTAGACCCCTACAGCATCACTGATGTGCACCCACTGACGACTTTCACTGAGGCCTCAGCAGGCAACTTCCACAGGGCACTCTACGGCCTGCAGGCCCTGCCAGCTACAGGCTGTCAGGGACGTCCACACCCACAAGTGCACACGCGGAGCTGGGGGTGCAGGTGAGTTCCGCCCCCCCAGAGCCTCCACCTTCTTCACCCGGCATGCGCAGCGCAGGGCGCCTGCCTTCCTCGTGGGCCAGATGCAGTCCCACCCCGACCCTCCCAGCAGGGCAGCCCCGGCAGGGGCCACACCACCCAGCATGGTTGCTCCCCGTGGGGCTGCTGTGTGACCTGCCGACCCCACCCAGGGGCTGGGCGGTGCGAGGGGATCAGGCGCGGCCCCGGCGGCCTCGCACACCTTGAGGAGGTTGCTGATGATGTTGCTGCCCGAGGGACACAGATTGTTCTTGAGCACTGAGGTGGTCAGAGCGGCCAGCGTGCTGGAGCCACAGCAGTCAAGCTGCAGAGAGCGGGGGTGCGAGGTCAGCCCTGGACGTGCCCGGGGGATGGCGGCTCTGGGGAACCCACGGGGAGGCGGCCAGGGGTACGCAGCGCTCCCCACTGCAGAACACATCCAGGGGCCAGCCTTCTTCCTCCTCAGCTGCGCTGCTCAGAGCTTTCCACACCCGGGGCCAACCTGGCCCACTAGGTTCCCACCCGAGGACCGGTTGAGCCCAGGGGTCCTGGAGGTCCCAAGGGCACCTCCTGCTCCTGAGGTCTAGGCGGAGGCAGGATTTGTCCAGGACGAGACACTCCCCAGCCAGGTTCCCCCGGCCCTGCTCCCTGCCCTCGCCCCCGCGGGCCGCACCGTCTCGTGGAAGGTCTTCACCACGGCCTTGGCATTGTTGGCGTCGTCATCCACCACAGCCTGCTGTAGGGCCTGGTCATAGAACTGCTTCACATCCTTGGCAATCTGGGGGAGGCGTGTGGTCACATGCACTGGGGGGACCTCCCCCACCTTGCCCCCACCCCACCCCAGGCGGACACACTTTTCCCAGGCTCTCTCTGGGCAGGGTGGCTTCGAGGCCAGACCCCAGAGAACAAGGACTCTGCACTCTCAGTGCCCAGGGGGTGTTGGGACACAGGGGGTTGGCCTTGTGTTCAGCGCCAATGCTGCCTCCTCCATAAAGCCCCTGGAGATCCTCCTAGCACGGGGGACCCAGGAGGAGCCCAAAGAGCTCCCACAAGCCATAGGTCAGCCCAACCCCCACCACGACAGGAGGAGGGCCCCCCTCACCCGCCCCACCCGCGACAGGGGAGGAGGGTGCCCCCCGGGCTCTCACCGCCCCACCCGCGACAGGGGAGGAGGGTGCCTCACCCGCCCCCACCTGCCACACAGGAGGAAGGTGCCCCCACCCGCCCCACTCCGGGCGACAGGGGAGGAGGGTGCCCCCCTCACCCGCCCCACCCGCGACAGGGGAGGTGTGGCGGGTGAGGGGCACACCCACGCACCCAGGCTCACCTGGTCCTTGTTGACAAAGCCCCAGATGCCGGCTGCCACTTCACAGGCAAACAGGATGACCAGACAGGTGAAGAACTGGAGCCAGACAGTGGCCAGAGGGGGGAAAGAGGGCAGGCTGTGGGAAGGGCCCTGGGACACACACCCAGTTGCCCAGCAGGGGTGTGTGTGAGGGGCTAGTGGGAGTCACCAGCCCACGACCTGACCAGGAGTGAGCAGCTTGTGTGGAGCCCTGGGGCACAGGGCTTAAGACTCAGTCCAGGAAGGAGCCATCAAAGCCCACGATGTCCCCACGCGGCACCAGGCTCCGCAGGACAGGGTGGATGGGGCGGGGCGCGAGGTTTGGGGTCACAGGCTGGTGAGTCCAAGATGTCTGCAGCCCCCAGGGAGGCGTGTACAGCAGCATGACCCCTGACTGGTCTTCCCCACCCCCTTGCTCCTGCTCCCCACAGGAAGGGGGAGCCATGGGATGTGCCTCAGTTTCCCCCACTGGAGACAACGGGCACAGGCTCCCTCTTCCTGGACTGGCCAGGCCCTGGATGGCACAGCCAGGCCTGGGCTTCCCACTGGGGGCGGTGTGCCCGGGACGCTGAGGCTCGCCTCAGAGCTAAGGCTTGCTCCCTGTTATATTTGTGGCTATTTTTTGACAAAGAAAAGCGGTCACGTAGGAACTGGCCATGATGGAGATCAAGCATGATGGGATTTAATTTAAAAACCAAACAGGAAAACCAGGGCACAGGAGCCACCTCCCCCAGAACTCCAGGTTCCGCCCTGAGCACCAGCTCTGGCCCCTCCTCAGGGCTAGACGCAGCCCCCAGCCCCTCCCGGGCCCAGGCGTCTGCAGTCTGGGACATGAATCCCCAGTCCTCCCTGCCTTACCGTCCCCAGCAGGCACTGGGATTCCTGGATGGCCCCGTAGCAGCCCAGGAAGCCAACGAACATCATCACAGCGCCCACGGCAATGAGGATGTAGATGCCTTGTGGGGAGAGAGACACCGGTGGGTGCCTGCACACTCGTTCACAGCCCAAGACCCCGGAGGGTCCTGGGTGCTGACCCCACCACGGGCCGCCCAGCTGGGAAGATGTGGGGCTGCTGGCGGCCAGGGATGAGCAGCGAGGGACCCCACATCCCAGCCTGGCCTGGTGAGTTCTCTGTGCCTCAGCTACCTCTCCCATGACACAGGACGGAGACTGAGGAGGCCACGTGGGGACTGTGCACCTTGTGAGTGCTCCGAGTGCTGGTGACAGATGCTTCGCAGGGATGACACCTACGGTGTGGCCCACAGCCTGCCACCCGCCACCCACCACCTGCACCCACTCCCAAAGCCTCTGGGACTGGGCATGGGGTGGGAGTGGCATCAGAAGGCACAGGGTGGGCCCCGCTGTAGGCTGGGGTTGAGGGGGCAGCCCAGGAACTGGAACCGGAACCAATGCTGCCTCCCCAGTGTGGTGCGAGAAGAGGGCGGGGGGCCCTGCTGGCTCCTGCCCCCCATCTTGGCTGCACAGCAGCACTTCGGTTATGGGACCTGCGTTTGAACCTGGCTGCTGTGTGGGCGGATCAAATTGGCTTCCTAGGCCCTGGGCTGAGGGCTGAAGCCCAGCACCCCACCTGGGACAGCTGGACCAGGACATGCAGGCCAGCCCTCCCGAACTCCCCCATGGCCCCTGGCTGGGCAGCACCCTCCTGGGGAGGGAGAAGGCACCGTCCAAGGGTGGGGGGCACACTGTGGGCTCGAGACATGGGCCTGGTCACCCAGACAGGGCCCTGTACCCTCGGGACAGCTGTTAGTGTCTCTCAGTGTCTGCCCATTCCCCTATCCCTCAGCAGGCGGGATTGTCCCCTGTCGCTGCGGCAATGCAGAAGGCAGCCCAGGCCCCCTCCTCACAGCCAGGCCCATTGTCCCTGCCCAGCCAGTCCAGGGGAGAAGGTGCCTGGGGCAGGACCCACCGCCAGGCAGAGAACACACCCAGATCTAGGGCTTGGCCACCCAGCCTCCTGCCTGATCAGATGAAGCCTCTGCCAGCAATGCCTTGCAGGTGGCCACCTCCTTATGGGCACAGCGCCCAGGAGCCGGGTCTCCCTCCCCTCAGGCCCTGACACTCCTGGGTTGCAAGGTTGGGTTCACTCAGGGGTGCAGGTCAGGAGGAGCGCACTGCCTCTTTTGGTCCTGACAGGAGGTGGGAGGCCCAGGGCTGCCAGACCCCCTGCCAGGCCCCAGCCCCACCCCAGGCTCCTCTCCAAAGCCCTCAGGCCTAATCCACCGCACCCGCAGCGTCTCTGAGGGGAGTGAGCCCAGCAAACCCACCCTGTTCCCAGCGCTGGGAAAAAAAGCCCTCGGCAGGGCCCAGCCCGCATCGGGGATAGCAAGAGGCTCCAGAAGGCCAGTTCTGGGATGGGCAAGGACTTGACGGCCAGAGGAGATCCAAGGGGTCTCCGTCCAGTGGGGACCCAGGCAGAGCCGATATCGGAGGTGACAGGTCCTGTGGTCGTGTGGCCAACACCACAGCAGGCTCCTCCAGCCCAGGGAAACCACAGCCAAGGACCGAGGGTGGGCGGCTCTGGGGCTGGAGCTCTGATGTGACCACGGTGACACCATGCGGGTCAGACCCTGGCTTCCAACGCCAGCCTTGCCCTGGCACTGTGAAGGCAGCACCACTGCCCCATGGGGCCTCAGCACAGCCTGTGACCTCTGCTTCTGCCGAGAGTGGGGCACAGGAAGGAGGCCTGGCATACCTCTCTGGGGTGTCCCCTGTCCTTGCCCCAGCCCGAAGCTTAGTGACCCTTCAGCTCCTCTCCGGCCACACGGGGCCGGACGCCGGTCCAGCAGCAGGAGCTGCTCCAGCCACAAGGCTCGGCCGCTGGGTGCCTGGGGAGTGACGCCTTCCAGGAACACCTGCCTCACACCCAGTGGCCCCAGGTCCTGGAGAAGGGGGCAGCCCCTCCTGTCCCTGGACAGGAGTACAAGGAATGTGCTGGGGGCAGCCCCTCCTGTCCCTGGATAGGAGAACGAGGAATGTGCTGGGGGGGGGCAGCCTCGTTCTAGGCCAGGGATGCTGTGGTTGTCACTGGCTGGACTGGTGGCCCTGGAGGACAAGGCCCAGGATGGCTGGGAGGACCTTCTGGACCCCAAATAGCCCTAATGATCTGGGGAGCGGGGAGGAAGAGGCCCGGGAGGGGCCCCCCAGGAGAGATGCACCCTCGGAGATAGGAGGATGCTGGCCAGGCTTTGCTGCCCACAGCCCAGGCACACGGGCAAAGCTAAGCCAAGTGCTTCTGAGGACGCGGGCAGGAGCGCCCCAGCTGTGTGCAGGGGGTGTCTCCACACGAGCCCCCGGGACAAGCAGCCTTTCCCGTTCTCCTGACAGACACCTGTGAGGGCACCACGGCCCCGAGAGAGGCCAGGAACCTATGGGCAGGGTCACGGGACCCTCCCCAGAATCGGCTGGGCCCAGAAACCCTCTGTGGGCCACAGGCTTCTGTCTCTGGGAAGGACAGGGACTGTCCCTGTTGACACCATCTGGACCCCAGCACCAGCCATCTGACCCATGAGCGGGGTATGGGGAGGAAGGAACGGGCACGCCGTGTGGCCAGGGCCCTCACCTGGCCCTGGGGTGACTGCACAGAGGCGGGACGGTGCAGGTGTGGGGCCATTTCGGGCCTCCTGGGGCCCTGGTTCAGCAACCAAGCCAAGCAGCCTCCGTAACTGGCGGGGGGCTTGGCCCTACAGCTCCAGGCCTGGGGCACCTGCCGGCTGAGGGAAGCCCTGAAGACTGGGGACACACAGGCTGTCCACCCCACCCACCCCTCAGCTTGTGAGGGCAACAGGGCCACCCCAGAGGGGTCCTCCAAAGGACAGAAGCATCTCAACAAATGCTCCCAGAGCCCCACCAGCACCAGCCCTGCCAGGGGCACCAGGAGGAGGGACGCTGCTCTGCACAGTGAGACGGTCCTCTTCCCGCTCCGGGCCTTGCCCCTCCCCGCCTCCTCCACCATCACTTCTGCTCCTGGGGGTGGGGAGGGCAGCCCAGTCCCCCACACGCAGCCTAATAAGGCCGCAAGGTGCAGCTGCCTGCAGAGGCAGCTGAGTCACACCAGCCTCTGGGGTGTCTCCACCCCTCTCCACCCCTGCCCTGCCCCCTCTCCACCCCTGCCCTGCCCTCTCTCCACCCCTCCCCTGCCCCCTCTCCACCCCTGCCCTCCCCCATCTCCACCCCTCCCCTGCCCCTCTCCACCCCTCACTGGGTTCCATCCCTTGAGCTCCATCCCTCCCTCCCTCCCAGGCTCAGTGCAGCCCAGGCATCCAGCCCCACCCTCCCCCGGGAGCCTCCCCTGAAATAACCTCATACTTAAAATAAGCAAGCTCTCGACACAGTCCGTGCCCAGGCCTGGCTGCCACCCCCTGCCCTGGCTCAGGCCAGAGGAGCCAGCAGGCCACAGGCCCACCTCCATTTCAACCCTCTTGCCCAGAGCCCTTTCCAGGGCCGCCTCCCTGCCCAGATATGCCATGCCTGACTGCCTTTCACCCTCCATGTCCTCACCCAAAAGGCTAGGCCCTGCCTCCTCCTGGAAGCCCTCCCTGAATGCGTCTGTGGCCACATGTGCACTCACCTACGTAGAAGGTATTGGGTGCAGGCTTGTCTCCCAGCTCCAGATACAGGAGGTTGGTAGTCTGCGGGTCATGGCGGAGCCACAAGGCTACACCCAGGATCACGCCTCCAGCCAGCTGAGAAAGAGCGGGAACGGTGTCACATGTACCAAGAGGACTGCGCCTGCCCCACACGCGCAGCCTGAGCAGCCTCCTGCCTTGCTGAGCCACCCGCTGGCTCCCGAGCAGGGACCAGGTGTCAGCTCTGCTGCCCTGGTTTTCGCAAAGCCCCGAGAAGCCCCGGGAGCCAGGAAGCATGAGGGAGGTGCTTTGGCCGCCATCTTCTTGGAGCCTGGCCCTGCCCTGCACCTGTGGAGTGCGACTCCAGCACAGGACTGCCAGGAAGACACGGGACGCCGGTTCAATCTGCCTCTCAGATGAAAACGGAATACTGCTTTAAGATAAGTGTGTCCCAGATATTGCATGGGACATACAAAAAAATAATCTAGTGTTTATCTGAAGTTCAAGCTTAATTGGACACCCTATAGTTTCACTTTCCACATCTGGCCAGAGGTGATACGACGACCTGAGCATCCCAGGAACACCACACCCTCCTGCAAGGATGTGGCACCACCCCAAGAGTTCTGAGCTCGTTAGGGCACTGCCTCTGTCTGGAGGTGCTGAAAACTCTGGGGTGGGGGCACCCCATCTTTGCTGCCAGGAGGAGGGAATAGGATTTGATGTTACCAGGCCAAGCTGTAGGCACCAGGGCCTGCGGGGTTTGTGGGATACATCCCTGCTGCCATCAGCCCTGGGAAGGGAAACTTGGGAGGAAGGAAGCTGCTGTGGTTTCCAAGATGGGCTGGGGGAAGGGGTGCACAGAAGCCAGCCCAGCACTGCCGCTCAGCAGCTGGGGCAGGAAGGGGGCTGTGCTGGGAGTCTGGCTGGCGGGGATGGGGCTCACAGAGAGGAGAGGCCCTCAGTGCCAGGTCGTCCTGTGTGCACACAACCAACTCTAGCCAGGTGGGGTCTACCCTTGAGACTGGGTCCCAGAACAGGCCCAGCTCAGCCCACTCTGATCATCCGACCAGGCCAGGCACGTGCCCTAGGCCCACCTCCGCACGCACCAACTCCTCCTCTCTCCCTAGGGGCAGTGCCCAGCCCTCTGGTGGTGGGAGGGGACACAGGCTTTTCTTCTGTCCCTCGTGCCTAGCACCATGCAGGGCACACTGCGGCCATGTGATCCCCATAAATGACCAGTGGCCCTGAGTCCTGCTGCCCCCACCCTCCTCCACTCCAGGACCCCTCAGCCTCCTGCTGCCCCCACCCTCCTCCACTCCAGGACCCCTCGGCCTCCTGCTGCCCCCCACCCTCCTGCTGCCCCCACCCTCCTGCACTCCAGGACCCCTCGGCCTCCTGCTGCCCCCACCCTCCTGCACTCCAGGACCCGTCAGTCGCCTCTTGCAGATGCTCCTCCCTGCTAGACAGGATGGGGATTGAGTCCCCTTCAGACCCCTCCTGGGGTTTCTTCCCGCCCCAGGCATGAAACATGGCCTCACAACCCTCCAGCAGCCTGGGGACACTGCATCCCTGGGACACAGTCAGTTCCAGGGTCTCTGGTCCACAACAGGAGGCCCTTGTTGCTGGACAGTCTGGGTGGGTCAGGCTTTACCCCCTGCTGCCCCAGGAGGACAGTACGAGAATCCCCTAAAACCCAGTCTGGCAGACAGCCGTGTGCAGCACTCAGGCAGGGACCACCCACGCCAGGGCGTTCTGAAGAAGCCTGTGGGGTCAGGGCCCCATAAGTGTGGCCACCATCCGGCTCCCATTGGCCTGGGCGAGTCTGCCTTCCTCCTCCATGCCACTCTCACAAAGGGCCAGGCCCTGGGGGCTTCCTGGAGGAGGCGGCAGGGGGACACAAGATGAAACCAGCCAGGTCAGGAGACACCCAGGGCGATGAGGGCACGACTTCCCCAGCGGAGAATGTCAGCCCAGAAGGCAGCTGCTCCCAGAGCTGAGTCGGAATGCTTGGCTCTGCCACCAGCTGGGTGCCAGGCAGGTCCTGTCCCAGCAGCTGAGGCCTTGCCTCACCAGCACCAGGCGCTGACCCCACCACAGATGCAGGGCTGCCGGTCAACTGCAGAAGAGAAACCGAAAGCTTAAAAAAAAAAAAAAAAAAAGAGAAACCGGGAGCTGTACCCAAGACCACCACCTGGACAGCCCCACTCCTGCTCCAATGGCCCTGCCAGGGAAGCAAGGCCCTAAGGTGGGGGTGGGCAGGAGACTGTGCCCAGCAGAGTGTGAGCTTCGGGCCCCAGTACCATGGCCCACACCCAAGGAAAGCCCTGAGGACTCCCCAGGCAGGCCGGTCTAGGGCTTCTGTGAGGGTTCGGGTGGGTGGAGGAGCTGGGGGCTCTATACCTCTTCCCCCTTCCCCTCACACTCCTGCCTCCCCTCCCCTGGGACCTAAGCTGGGCCTGGCAAACAATAAGGCCAGAGGGGGCTGGGCGTGGTGGCAAGCGCCTGTAATCCTAGTACCTTAGGAGGCTGAGATGGGAGGATCGCTTAAGCTCAGGAGATTGAGGCCGCAGTGAGCTACGATTGTGCCACTGCACTCCAGCCTGGGTCTCAGACCGAGGCTCTGTCTCCGAGAAAAAAATTATCCAGGTGTGGTAGCTCATGCCTGTAATGCCAGCGCTTTGGGAGGCTGAGGTAGGAGGACTGCTTGAGGCCAGGAGTCTAAGACCAGCCTGGGCAACATATCAAGACCCCATCTCTACAAAAAGTAAAAATAATTAGCTGGGCATGGTGGCATATGCCTGTGGTCCCAGCCACCTGGGCGGCTGAGGTGGGCAGACTGTGGGCCCAGGTATTAGAGGCTGCAGTGAGCTGTGACCACAATGCTGCTGCACTCCAGCCTGGTGACAGAGCGAGACCCTGTCTCATGGGGCTCTTGCCCCAAAGGGGTTGTTGATGGTCCCCTGTAGCAGGGCTGCCAGAGCACCTTCTCCATGCACCCGACACAACAACCTGGGCTGTGGTTTCTCAGACCTTCTTCTGAGGAGCTGTACCTCCTGCCCTCCTATGGGAGTTTCAACTCAATTTTCATACTTTGGTTTAGAGAGGATGGCAGCCTACTTCCCCTGCCCAGGCCCCAGACTGAAGCTCTTCCGTGCCGAGTGGAAGGTGTGTTAGAATCACCGAGGGCCCGACGGGCACCTGCGAGCAGTACTGGAAGCCATCTGGCAGCTGGGACCCCAAGTGTGCCCCTCACATGACAAGGCCCCAGGGAGGCCAGGGGCCCCTGGCTTCCAGAATCCTGCAGGAGCAGACAGCTCCTAGTTCTTCTGTGCCCGTTACACCCATGGGAGCACAGGGAGGGTCGTGGACAGTGCAAGAGAGGCAAGAAGGGTGGGGGCTGGGGGGTGGCCCCAGAGAGCCTGGCTGTCCTCACCCTGTTGCCCTCCTGAGCTGGCTCCATCTGCAGCCTGGTGGGAGGAGGTGGCGAGGCCGAGAGTTGCCGTGGTAACTCTGGCTTCCTCCAGGGCCTCTGAAAACATCACTTATTTTGTTTTGAAACTGTGGTCCGGAGACCGTTTTGAGAGCTGTTCCAGGACAGAGTGGGGTAGGTGGATGGGGGAGCCTCATCCCCACAGAGACCTGGCGACAAACCCTGACTCAGCCACAGGAGCTGCAGAGCCGCTGGAAAGGTCCCCGGGCTCCCTGTGCCTCAGTGTCCCCCTCTATAAAACAGCTGATCCTGGAACCATGCCTGGCTTGGAAGCTGCTCCATAGGGGCTGATCCACTCCACGCCCTCCCTGGCTGGGCAGCGACCACCCCTCCTCTAGCCTGGGCACTGAGGGGATGACCCCATCTAATGGGCACAACTTCCTAACAGAAAGGTAGTGACAGCAAAGCTTAGCCTAAACCCTAAACCTGCTAATGGTGGGACTCCAGGCCACGTTGCAGCTCCTTGCTGGGCTCTGGGAAGGGGCTTCTTTTCAGACTCCAGGGCCGTGTGGGGAGGCTGCCCCCAGACAAGCCCCGGCCCCAGGCCTCTGCAGAGGGTTGCAGGGAAGGCTGGTCCTGGCCTGCAGGGCCTGGAGGAGCCTGGGTCAACACCAGGAAGGACCCGAGGGCCCATGTGACTTTTAATAGGGCAGAACAGCTGGGCCAGGAGGGGGTGGGTAGGACAGTGGGAAATGGGGGTGACGCCAGCCTGCCCACCTCAATTGTCCCCGAGGCTACCAGAAACAGTCGGGAGCCACCCTGGGTGGAAAAATGGGGCAGGAAGGAGTGCCAGGCACTGGGCAGAGGCCTCACCTGGGCCTTGGTCTTCCCAGCCCTAGCATGGACCCACAGGGGGCCATGCCGAGCTCTCCGGCCTTCAGCAGGGACCCTGAGCTGGAGCTAGGTGACAACAGTGGTGGTGATGGTCACCCCCAGTTTCTGGATGAGGAAATGGAGGCGGAGGGGCTCCCCTAGGGCCACCTACGAGGGAGGGCAATGGCAGCACCAAAGCCCCACGCCCCGTAGTGGGAAAGGCAGAGGTGCCCCTGCCCCATAACAGACCCCATGTGGAAGGACTAGCGTTCCCCAGAGTCAGGAACCAGGAAGCCACCTGCTCTCCGAAAGACACGGGGCAGGGCCTGGTAAAGGACCTGTGCCCTGAACGCATGCAGAGCTTTCCAAATTCAACAGCAAGCAAACCGACAACCCAAGCTTTACAAGATGGGCAAAAGACAGGAACAGACCCTTCCCCATAGAAGATACGCACACAGCAAATAAGCACACAAAGAGATGCTCCACCTTGCTAGGGACCAGGAAACCCAGGTCAAGCCGCAGCCACGGCCTGAGCACACCCGGAGGACTGGCTGCCATGAAAACGACCAACCACAGCACGTGCTGCTGGGCGAGGCGACTGGGGCGCAGGCAACCGGGGCTGTAAAACGGTCCAGCCACCTTGAATAACAGTTTGGCAGTTATGTAAAACTGCTGCTTAAGTGGTGAAACCCACATTCACATGACCCAGCTGCTCCACGCCCAGGTATTTATCCAAGAGAGATGAACTCAGGTTCACACAGACTGGTACACAAATGTTCTAGCAACGTTTCTTGTAAATGCCCCAAATGGAAAT